TAAGCCGTTTCTGAGATTAGCGTGAACAGACAAACAGACAAACAGACAAAAAAAAAGTTAGTTACATTTTTGGGTTCGACATCGACATAACAATAGCCCCTGCTATTTTTTTTTATTTTTATTTTCAATGTACAGACAGCACTTTTCTACAATTTTATTATATGTATAGATAGATTTTAATAAACGCGTTTGTACATTTTGTACAGTATGTTATATATTCACGATATTTATAGGTAGGCAAAGCCTTTTCGCCTATATGGACTGCACGCCACTGAGTTCCACCGACTGTCGAGGACGAGTCCCAGGTACTTCATCGTCGTCTCGACGTCGATGGTAATCGCTCCCGCCATTATTTGGGACCCACCCGTTCCCGCGGCCATGAAAACACATGGCCTCGGACTTGTGGAGCGCCACCTCGAGTCCCAACTGCCGGATTTTTTCAACGACTGTCGCAACCGCTGTCGGAGGACGGATGCGGCGACTGCGGTGCCTAGTGTACTGGCGTCGCGCAGCAGTGCACGCCTTGCGTAACGCCGCCAGCTCCTGCGACCACCAGTACACCTGGCGCTTTTGCTGCCTCGATCGGATCCGGGGAATCGCCACGTCACAAATCCTGGACATGGCGTCCTGGAGCCACTTAGCCTCATCGTCGATGTCGGCAGGCCTGACCGAGCTTCCAGGAGCAGCTCCCGGTCCAGCTGTTTCAGCGCCCAATGCGGGCCACATGGGGCCTGTCTGACCGGCGGATCTGCGGAATCGGCGGAGACGTCGAACCGGATATACCGGTGGTCGGAGTACGTCTCCACCTCCTCCATGACGCGCCAGACAACAATACGCGGTGACAGAGCAGGGCTGGCGAACGAAATGTCCACCACCGACTCGCCCTGCATCGGCACGCACGTGGGGACAGAACACCGGTTCAGAACGACTAGGCCTGTCTCAAGGGCCCAGTCTTCCACCATCCTACCCCGGACGTCGGTGAACCGGGAACCCCAAGCCAAGTTTTTGGCATTGAAGTCCCCGAGGACGAGCACGGGGAGGGAACGGAACCCGACGACGACGGTGACCAGCTCCCTCAAGGAGTTGTGGAACTCGGCGAGAGTTCGGTTCGGAGAGAAGTACACGCCCACCACAGCGAGCTCTCCGAACCGTGCTGAGACACAACCCCGGCCTCTTTGAGCAGCCTCAAGAGTCGGGGTACCGGCGGCGGCCGACGAGATGATGGTAACCGAGCCGTCCAGGTCTGCCACCCAGTGATCCCTGGGCGGGACAAAGTACGGCTCGGAGACCACGACGACATTGATCGACCACTGCGCCATGCTCTGGAGCAGGAGATCCTGAGCGGCAGCGCAGTGGTTAATATTCGCCGAGAGGAGGCGGAATGGAGCCATTATTGGCAGTCCATCCTAACCTCAGTGGCGGCAGCGGCGACTGCGGCGGCAGTGGCGGCGGCGGCGGAAACGACGGGGGCGGCGGAGGGCCTACTTTTGCCCTTGGGTTTGGCGGGAGGGGAGCAGCCCTTGCTCCCGACCCGGTGATTGGCCGGCTTGCCAGCCGCCGCACATGCGTTGCAGTGCAGCGGGGCGTTGCACGAGCCGGCCTTGTGACCGGGCCGACCGCAGCGGAAGCAACAGTCGCTGCGGTCCACCTCCGAGGTGCATTTGACGCTCACGTGCTCCCCCACGTGACAGCGGTAGCACCTCAGAGGCCGGGTCTCGAGCAGCTTGACCTGCGCCGAGACCCATCCCACCAAGAGCCTTTTGCCCTCCTTCAGCTTCTTGGCCGCTGTGACGGGGCAGCTGACCACAACAGTGCGCAGCCCCGAGTTGTCCGGGCGGATGGCGCCTGCCTTGATTTGGTCAGCAGGGCACCCTCCCGTCCTGGCCACAGCGGCCACCACCTCCCTCTCCGTTACGGAGTCGTCCAGGCCCAAAATCCTGACATCCAGGCATTTGGTGGGCCTGGACACGCGGGCCTCGTCCGCACCGAGGCACGCCCTAAGCCTCTCGGCCAGGGCGTCGGCCGATGGGCCGCTGGTCGCGCCGGGGACCTCCAAAAGACGGGCTCCGGTAGCGGTCACCTTGACCGCGAACCCGTCTGGCGCCCCGAACTCCGCAGGAGATACCGCCCCCTTCAATTTGGCGAGGACGTCGCCGTAAGTGACGCCCCTATTGACCGCCTCGGGCTGCAGCGTAATCACTACAGCCGCGGTCTTAGGGGCGAGGAGCAAGGCAGCAGCGCGTTTCTCCCTGCGCTGCTGCTGCCGTCGCTGCCGCTGCGCCTTCTTGCGGCGCTTCCGGCCCTCCCTGGCGACTCTCCTCGCCTCGCCGGCGATTTGCCACCCGCCGCCGTCCTCCGCTCGCGGGGCGGGTTCCACCACCGCTGCCGCAACTCCAGCCTGCCGGGCTGGAGTGCCTCTCCTCTTTTTGCGCCCTGCGGGCGCTGGCGCCGTCGGCGCAGCTGGGGTCTGCGCCGGCGGGGGCGCCGAGGCCCTCGCTGGGGCAGCCGGTCGCGCCTTTGCCGGCGGTTGGGAGCTGCGGCTAGCCTGACCCGAGGTCGAAGGCTTGGCCGCAGCGGCCGCGTACGACCGCGGGACTGCGGGGGCGACCTGACTCGCCGCAAGTGGGGGGCGCAAGAGCCTGCCCTCCAGCACGTCGAAACGTCGCTGGAAGGCAGCCATCTCCGCCCGCAGCAGTCCGACCACGTCGGCCTCCGCCGGGGGCTGAGGGCGACTGCCGCGAGCAGCGGCGAGCTCGGCCCTGGCCGTCCGCAGCTCGGCCTCCAGAGCCGCGTTAGAGGCCGCCAAACGCGCCAGCTCTCGCCGCATCTCGGCCAGCTCAGAGCGCACGTTTCCCGCAGTGGGCACCGCACGCTGCTCCAAGGCCGCCTCCGTAATAGTGGCCGCCGCCGCCTTGAGGAGGCGGAGCCTAACCGGCTGGGATTTCCCCATCGCCAGCTTGTAGAGCTCCGCCGTAATGGCCTGTTCGAGGCCCCCGGAGCAGCTCTCGCTCTCAGAGCCGCGCTCGCCCTCCGACATCTCCACGCCGGACATCTCGGCCGCAGAGGACTCCGAACGGGCAGTGCTCGAAAGAGCCCTGCCCTCCGCAGCCAGTTGCTCGGCTGACTCCGCGCAGGCAGCTGGTGCCGGTTTCCGGCGACCGCTGCCCTTGCCGCCCCTACCCCGCGCTGCCGTGGGGACCTTGGGGGGAGGCGCCTCCCGAGCGCCGGAGGACGGGGACAAACTGTCCTCCTCCAGCCGGGGGCGTTTGAACGTCCCCGTCGCGCGGCGGCGTGAGCCTTTCGAGCTCACGCTCAGCCGCTCCGCCAATGTTGTGTCGGACTCTGAGTCCGACCCCCTTCGACTGGACTCCCGTGTGTGGGGCCTGCTGGACGAGTCCAGCGCCTCACCACGAGTCCCGGAGCCACTTGGGCTCCCTTCTCCCGCTACCGCAGGCGAGCCAAGCTCACCCGCACTCTCCTCCTCCGGTTGTGGTTTTGATTTTGATTTTAAATTCTCCATACAGTTCCCACGAGTATGGGGGAAATATTCGGTCCACCCAGGCAGTGCCCCCTGTACCTGGGTAAGTGTTAATTTGTTTCCCAACTAGAGGTTCCACTGGTCCCCTAGCTGGGGGTGCGCTCGCGACTGACACTACTCCTCAGCCATGCATACTCTCGCCGCGCACCAGAACTTAGTATTGGAGGAATTTTTTATAGAGGTTATCTTCCTCGCGGTCCGGGCGACCAAGCCAAGACCCTCGTCCCGTTCAGAGTCACAAAACATGACCGTGACCTCCTTACGGATTACGATATCGACGGCTGCAATCGGGGACAGCTTGTGTCCCGATGCTGCTCGCTGGCAGGGTGAGTGCACAACGAGCACCGCCCTTGCCTCTCCGCCACGCCCTCTGCTAAGTTCAGAGAGACAGGCGGAGGAACGCCCCACGGAAGCGCGGGTTATGAGCCTCAGCACACAGCCCGCCGCCTCCAGAACCCTATCGGGTTCGCCCGCCCAGTCCAGAAGTCTGCTGCGGGCGACAGTCACACCGAACTCTATCACCCCTGTTAGGGAGACTGTCGCCCGCACCCAGGGTGCACCACGGGGAGGTCTTCTGGCACCGCACCCCGTCATTTGTAGGCTACCTATTGTCGAATGCATGCATTCGTCAAATGACGCAACGAGGTCAGTAGGCCTAAGGTCTATTGCATGGAGATTAATGCTCATTTCTTCTTCGTGTAAGAAGAGGCCTTTTCTCATTACTCAGAAGTTTCTTTTTTACATTTATTTTTCTCATTACAATAGGGTAGTTTCCTAAATTTTATTTTAATAACCGTCTGGTACATTAATTTAAAACTTTAGACACGTATTTTTTTCTTTTCTCACAAAATTAAATACTTTCGACGATATATTAATTTGAAATATCGTGTGACGTCACAGCGTGTCACATTTTGTCGTTATGACACGTTATGACGTAACAACCTCCCACTCCTAAACTTACACCATTTAAAAAATATGTGTCTAATATTTTTTCATTATCTAACTGACGGACTAATTAGATTTTTAATTTTGATACCCTGGAGACTACCCAATTTTATACTAAAACTGTTATTTGGCAAACAAGGATTTGCTCAATTTACACTGCCGCGGAATAGATTAAAAGAGATTTTTTTGCAACGAAGTTGCACATAGCATAGTGAACTTTATATCAACTGTGTAACACACAAATTAAAAACCAGATAATTCTAGAGAATGTGCGAGGATTCCGCGGAAAATGTGCGTTCCACTTTTGACTATTTAAATCGTGCCTCTGCGACGGTGTAAGTTGAGCCAAGTTCATTCCATTCCTCGGCGGTGTTAATTGAGCCTACATATAATGTTTCAGTAAAACCAATGTGCACATTGCAAGCAGGCTATATTTTGCACTGTGAGTGCATGGAAACTCAAAATGATTCATTACACAACTACAAGTGGTCACAAGTCACTACTGAAAGTAAGTACCAACATTTCTTTTACCTGATTGAGAGTTTAAAGTCGCGGGAAGCTCAAAGAAGCTCAGCGCGCGACGGAGAGAGCTATGCTCGGGGTTTCTTTGCGCGACATAATCCGAAATATGGAAATTCGCCACAGAACTAGAGTTACCGACATAGCTCGCAAAATCTGCAGACTAAAATGGCAATGGGTAGGCCACGTCGGTCGACGGATTGACAGCAGCTGACCAGGAAAGTCCTTGAGTGGAGACCACGAACCGAAAGACGAAGCATGGGCAGGCCTCCCGCTAGGTGAACCGACGACATCGCCAGAGTTGCGGGGAGCCAGTGGATGCAGGTGGCGAGTTGTCGTTCGACGTGGAGGACTAAGGGCCTTTATCCAGCAGTGGACGTCTTTTGGCTGTTGATGATCATGATGGAAAACAATTGACGCCGCACATGGACATTCGCAACACTAGAGGGGAAGGAACGATGAGGGGGGGGATTGGGATTGGATTGAAGAGGTTGGGGAGGGCACGAATTGGGCCTTCGGTAACCTCCTTCATACAGTTGCATAGTAGATATACAACACAAGCGTTGTTTCAATTCGGTTTTCTGTGAGGCTGTGATATCACTCCGATCGAGCAGACGGAGCACCTGATGGTAAGCAATCAGCGTCACCTAACACAGAGGAGACAAACAATGAAACAATAGGGTAGTTTTCTAAATTTTATTTTAATGTCCGTCTGGTACATTAATTTAAAACTTTAGACACGTATTTTTTCTTTTCTCACAAAATTAAATACTTTCGACGATATATTAATTTGAAATATCGTGTGACGTCAAAGCGTGCCACATTTCGTAGCACGTTATGACGTAACGAACTCCCACTTCTAAACTTAGCGTCATTTTATCTAAGTATTGCAACTTAATATGAGAAAATAAAAAAATACGTGCCTAATATTTTTTCATTGCCTAATTGACGGATTAATTTGATTTGTAATTTTGATACCCTGGAAACTACCCAATTAAGTATGTGCTCTAAGCTGACAAAACAATTCACATAATAGAATGACATGCTGGATATTTTAACTCATAATTACCTAAAACTATTTCAGACGACGAAATTGGTACAAAAGATAAAGAAATATGGTCGTATGAAACGAAATCACCGATTCTGAAGATGCTCATTTATAAATTTGATAATAATACTATGATAACATGCGAAAAAAAATCACAGGGCACCACGAAACAAACTAATAATAACCCAATTTCTAAGACATATACGATAAAAATACCAGGGGGTAAAACAGTACAATACAGTAAGTTTTTATGTTAACTAGCTTCTGCTTGCGGCTTCGCCCGCGTTGCCATGGAATAAAATGTAGCCTATGTGTTACTCCTGAATTACCAATGATATAATAGGTTAGGTTTTGATTAGGTTAGGAACCTACCTCTATTGTCGCGAACGCAGTGCGAAAGTACAGTTCTCGTGGCCCGCCCTCATGCGTGAGTGGCACACCCCGGGGTTTTTAGTGGGTTCGAGCCCTACATAACCTGGCCTCGTCCCGCGAGGCCGGGTATATACGGCATTTACCCCGGGCGAAAAAAAAGGAACCTACCCCTGTTCCAACATTTCATTCCGATTTCTTCAGCCGTTTTGATGTGATGAACAAACCACAAGGACCGGGCACATTTTGAAATGAAAGCCATCGATATAAATGACTAACTATTGCTCGCGACTTGGTCCGCGTAGAACATGATGCCTATTTCATCCCATGGAAGCATTTAATCGGAATAAAAACTCCCTATCACCTAAGTCAGCCCATACCCTGTCAGTGTATCAAATTTCATCAAAATCCGTTCCATAATTTCAGCGTCATTGACGGACAAACATAAAAAGTTTGACATTTATAATATTAGTGTGATTTATACCTAACATAACTAACATACATAGTATCACGCCTTTTATTCCCGAAGGAGTAGGCAGAGGTGCATATTACGGCATTTAATGCCACTGTATAATGTAACACCCACTTTTCACTATTTATGTTGTGAGTCCCATGTAATAGGGGGTGATATGGCAATAGCATATACTGGGCATGGGCACAATTCTAGACTCCGTGCTACGACTGAGACTTTTTTTAAAAACCCAGTATTACACTTAGCCCGATCTAGGAATTGAACCCGAGACCCCTTGCCCAGCAGTCGTACTTGCGACCACTCGGCCCGCGAGGCAATAATTTTGTGATTTATAACGTTTTTATAATTATATATTTCAGATACGTGGAAAGATATAAATGAAACTATTTCCTTCTCCAACTCTGAAAAGGTCCAGGTCAACTGCTCAACGAGTAAGTATTACATTTGTATTGTAAAAAACGGTGAGACGTGACACACTAAATAGGGATGTTGATAGGATATGAAAATTAAAATTCTATTTAGCCTCTCAGTTACATGATGTAAAAATATTAGACACGTATTTTTTTATTTTGTCGTAGAAATCAACATCAAATACAATTAACGCTTTCGTTTTTTTTTAATGAGGGAAATCATCGAATTACTTCTCCCGCCGCGCCTGGGTGAGGCGGGAGGGAGTGGCAGACTCTTACTGACTAAAAACCACCCCGTTCCTTCCGGAACTGGAACCCGTTAAGTCATCCGCGGCTCCGTATCAGCATCAGCCCTATTGGATCCCATTTGTGGTGGTCTGATGGCTCTTTGAGTTTGGCGCGCGGAACGCGACGCGCCGTACGCTCGGGTCTGGATCTGGTCGGGTGGTGAGCCACCCATGCTCGCCGTCCGCAGGCCCGTGCTTACGGTGGCCGGATATCGTCCCGTGATCCCCGACGCCCGGTGTGTCCTTCGCGATGGCTGGGCTGTGAGGAGGCAGCGCTTCGCTGCCTCACGCGCCCCGCCTCCTCCTTAGCTAGCATGACTGCTTCGCAAAAGGGGGAGACGTTATCCCAGGCCCATTCGTTCCGCATCATGGCCCGGACTAGGGCTGGACGCGAGAGGTCGCCGACGCCCATCATATCCCCGGGGGCACAGCGGTGCTCAGCCCACGCTGGGCATCCTCAGGGCGGTCCTCACAGTGATGACACCCGGGCGTGTCCTCCCGCCCTATCAGAAACAAGTACCTGCCGAAGCTTCCGTGTCCGGTGAGGACCTGCGTCAGGCGGTAGGTGAGGATGGTGTAGCGTCTCTCAAACCACTTCTCAAAGAAGGGACTTGCCGCTGCAATGGCAGCGAGCCCATCAATTAACGCTTCAGGGCCGATTTTTCCATGGCCAGTTAAATTTTATCATCAGAAGAATAAGTTTGAATATTTGACAATTCTTCCATGCCTGCTAAAAATTGTCGACCGTCAATTTTATTCAACAGATAAAAATTAACTGACGATTGTAAAATCGGCCCTAAATTATATAGATTGAATGTAAACAAACTTTGGTATTAATAAAAAATAGCGAAGATTAAACTTGAAGTTGTGTGTATTAATTTGGGCCTCCGGTAACCTCACTCACACGACGAAACATAGCGCAAGCCTTGTTTCACGTCTGTTTTCTGCTCGGCCGTGGTATCATTCCGGTCGAACCGGCCCATTCGTGCCGTGGCATGGCTCTCCCACACTTACCCCTAAGCAAAGATAGGTATACGGAGCCGCGGAAGGCCTAACGGGTTGCCGGAGCTTCGGCTCAAAGAGCACAGGGTGGTTTTTAGTCAGTAAGAGTCTGCCACTCCCTCGCGCCGAAGCCAAGGCGGAAGAAGAGATTCAATGATTTTCCTCCTCAAAAAAAAACCTAAGATAGGTGACACTTAACGACATTTTGGTGTACTACTTACACCTATAAGTGCCATATAAAGGTACACATAAACAGGTAAGAAAGGGGTTACAGAGTTAAATTGGCTTACGTTATCCATGCGACACGTAAAAGTTTAGACGAATTCATGGATTCGTCAAATGAAGCAACGTGGGCAGTAGACTTTAAACTTAAAGTATTAAATTTTCAGACGCATTGGTGGGTTTAATCTACCACAAGGATGAAATAATTGAGCGACAATATTCGACATCTTTTTCTATCAAGAACCATGCTCATACATTGTACAAAGCTTGCTGTATTTACTTCGAAAATATCGGTGCCGATTTAATAAGAGAAATCAAACACATTTCGCTACTTGTAAATATCCAAACAAACGATCCAGGTAAAATAAATTATAATTATAACCAACGAAATAATGTAAGCACCAACTTTCACAATTTATATTATGAGTCCCATATAATAGGGGTTGAGCCTATTGCAATATACCAGGCACAATTCCAGACACCGTGTTACTACTGAGAATTTTCTAAAACTCCAGTAATACTTTACCCGACCCGGGAATCGAACTTGGCCAACGAGGCAGTCACAACTGAGGACAACGAAGGTAGTTTTTCCACAACTAACTACCTAGTAGAGTATCCTGTCTCCCATAGGCGTAGGCAGAGACTATGGAACGCCCATTGCTACGATTCTTATATACCGCTTTCGCTTCGGATTAGCAATATTATTAAACAAGGGCCAAATTAAAAGTACCCTTAACGGACGAGCTTGCATGAAAAGACTGATATTGATGAAGCGAAAGAGTTGATTAGAATAGAGCTCATTAAAACCGTTCGACATTAAACATAATTTTTTCCTTATTTTATGAAAATTCGTCAAAAAACTAGAGTTACCGACATAGCTCGCCAAATCTGTAGACTGAAGTGGCAATGGGCAGGCCACGTCGCTCGACGGACTGACGGCAGATGGGCCAGGAAAGTCCTTGAGTGGAGACCACGAATCGAAAGATGAAGCGTAGGCAGGCCTCCCGCTAAGTGGACCGACGACATGGTGGAGGACCAAGGGGGAGGCCTTTGTCTAGCAGTGGTGATGATAACTTAAATACCTATTTCTTATATTGTTCTAACAGTTACTCCGAAGACGACAACATCGCCTGTGGAACCAGTGTCCGATAACCAGGACGAAGCAGAGTCTACTACAAGCAACGTTGGACTCTATATAGTCCTACCGACATTACTAATTGTTATTATTCTACTTTTAATAATTGCTTTACGTTTCAAGAAACGACTGAATCCTCGAGAATCGCAGCAAATGCTTCAATTAGAGACTTATGTAAGTAGATTTGTTCCAACGATTTTATTTAGCTTGGCTCGTTTGTTTTGGGTTAAATTCAGTAATTGGTATTTCAGCCCCTTCTTGACGACAGATCGATTTTAGTGCTTACTCTTGAAACCAATCCCAATGTTAATACAATTTCAATTCAATGAAATCTCAATAATTATTCAATGTCAAAACTGTACAACCCTTGTAGCTGTTAAAATAGCTTTCAGAGTACGGAATATAAAGCCAAACTCAATACCATTTAGTTCATTCAATATCCACGCAATACGGATGCAATGGACGCTAGTATTGCAACACGAGAGTACGAAATTTCACAATACCAATGGCGATCGATCGGAAGTAAGCTCCCTGTTGTTTGGTACCTACACTCTTAATCTTGATGATGGCCATTGGCACGCTACCATCCAACACAATATTTTTGGCACGTGATCACAACATCTGCCCTATGTACGGTTTTTTTCAGACATGAATACAGTTTCTTTTCTTTTCTTTTTATAAAAACGTTGCCCCACACTAGGATTTTCTCCTGTGTCGTGGGTGAGTTTACAAACATACAATATCACATACACATGACACCCAGACCCGGAACAACAATCTGTGGATCACACAAAGAGTTGTTCCGTGCGGGAATCGAACCCGCGACACGTTGCGCGGCAGCCAGTTGCCCAACCACCGCGCCAACCGTGCAGTCGTTTATTAATCAGTTACACAAATAACTCAAATTCAGCATGAATTCTGCTGAGCTAGCTACTAAAAATAATGAATTATTGTTTTGATAGCACATGCTGTGTTTCGTAACACTATGTTGAATAATTTAATTGTTTCGTCAGGTGTAGCTCATTATACGGACCTTGTGGAATCTAGAACAAATTTCCGTGCGTTTAGGCGCTTTTGCCATACCTATTATTGGAAGCAAGTATAACAGCTCACACATAGGACCCACTTAGTTTTTTAGTCAAATTTCCGTGGTGCTTGGCGACTGGGCTTCACCCAGTTGTACAGTCTCTTCTTTGTGCCTTTAGGCTTAATTCATTCTGTCTCCTGCAGTAATTCACCGAGGGAAGTGGAAACTATAGTTTTTTCTTCTCCTCTTATAATATCTTCTGATTCACTTCGTTGCGGGAACCAAGACAGTTACTCATGTCCCTGGGACGCGCCGGACTTCAATGTTCCGGTATTTTCATGGTTGTATCTACTGTAGATCCTGACTTACAGGAGTTGCAGCGGTTTTAGGAGGTTGTGGCGGGCTTGTCCCATAAATAACCACCGTCATTATAGATATTACATGAAAACGCTTGATTGGTAGAATAACGCTCTTGAAACCATTTGACATAAAAAAATAGTTTTTTACGTAGATATTACTCATTACAATAATATTTTCTAAATTTTTTACAGGGCACCACTGAAAAGGTTCTGTATGCAGAATTGGCACTACAACCAAGGAATGATGTTCGAGTGCCAGTTCAAACCAACGAATCGCCATATGCAGAAATAGTTGGAGTACTGAATGAAAACCGGGGTAAACCACCGCAACTAACTAGGTCAAGAGCGGCTTAAGCCTAAAGAGGCGTAGTTAGTACGAATTTCATTTTCGTTTAAAGTATTCGATACGCGTACGCGTGCGGCGCTCTGATTGGCCGGCGCCAATGAACCAACCAATCAGAGCGCCGAACGCGTACTCGTTACGTTTACTAACGTACAACTAATTCGTACTAAGGTCTCAGAGCACCCTTAGGCAAGCACCTTGTAGGCGCATCTAACTTTTTTGCACTTTATAAGCAGTTGGGCACAAGCGCTTAAGCTCTGTAACCAGGCGCCCTAGGCATTTGCGTAGAGATATACGGCCCTGAATTAGGTACAGAACAAAAAATAATGTACCATACACATCATTTTGGCCGAAATGTGTTATATTATATATTATTTGTAAATAGTTATCTTTAAAATCCTTTTTTGTTACATATTTTATCTAGTAATATTTTTTATAGGAACTCTATGGCGGAGTAACCAGTTGCCGCTATAAATAAAATGTATACAACTCTATAGAGTTCCATTTGGAATCTGCTTGGTTGCGCAACCAGCTTGTATATTTTGTTGGTAGCGGCGACTGGTTTCGCCGCCATGGTGTACCGATTAAATATATCCCTAAGGAAACATTATTTAAGTGTTAATCAGTTTCTTATGTCTTTGTCAATGTTTTAATTGTTAGTTATGTATTTAAAATTGTACTGAATATTAGATATTATGTACCTATGTGCCTATGTACAGTTTTTATATGTATGGTGCTCTATTGTATGTGTGTACATAATAAATAAATATTAAATGTTAATATAGTTTATTTTCCTGTCAAATATATATTTCTGTTTAGGTAAATTCACATAATTAGAATTACGGTTTTTGTCCCCGAAGGGGTAGGTAGAGGGGCAAATTACGTCACTTAATCCCACTGTACAATGTACATCCACTTTATATGTTATGAGTCCCATGTAATCATGGGACTCATAACATAAATAGTGAGGCTCGCCCTCTATTAAGAGGGCGAGCCTATTGGCTCACCTTTAAGCTATTGTACACACAAATACGGAGCGCGTGCGTCACGGCTCCGGCGCGGGACTCGTTCGTTGTTCTCTCGCGTCCTCGCAAGCGTCGAGCGGTCAGTGGCGGGGAAGCGGGGGAAGGGAAATAGTGTGGTGGCGCGTTGCCACTAGAGTAGCGCGCGTGCGTTCGACACAAACCTAAATCGAGTTGCTGCGTTACACTATGTATTATTTTGGTTTTATATTGCAAAACAAATGTAAACTAATTCCTAAAAAGCCATGTACAAAATATGATAAGAATCCGCTTAACCATTTTAACGATCTAGCAAAACCAAAAACGTTACCCCAGCAAAATTTCGAATAATTTCGCAACCGATGAAAGAACAAATACAAAATAAGGCACAACATTTACTTCATCTAGACAACTAATTTTATAGCTAGTATTTATTTAAATATTCCCAATAGAAAGAAAAAGGTCTGGCTGGGGTAACGTTACCCCAGCAGGAAATGTTTTTGTGAAGTAATTAATAAACTATGAGGGCAACAAATTTAAAAAAGTTGCGCAACAATTACAGAAGCCGCACAACTAATTATCTAAAAGATTTAAATGACCATTTTTGCCAACATCTGGCCTGGGTAACGCACATAAATTAACGATCCGTTTACGATGAAACTTGGTATGATTATAATTTAAATATTATGCATGTTATGTTTGCCAGTAGGCAAGTACTTGTTACACTCACCTAAGTATTCTCCATGCAATGAATGTTCCAGTGTAAAATAACTGTTGGTTAACTTAACAAATAAATAAAAACATAAAACTGCCTCGTTGGCAGAGTTCGTAAGTGCGACTGCAGCATGGGGTCTCGGGTTCGATTCCCGGGTCGGGCGAAGTATTATGGAGTTTTTATAATAACTATCGTGAGACATACAAAATTAAGTAAAATCGCGGGTTACTCACGTGAATATACTGAGAAAAGCTCTACTAGTTTCGAACCACAGGTCACTTGAGTGAGCTGCGCGACGTCGCCGCGACCGCGCACGCTGCTCATGAGGAAGAACCCCTCTGTGGTTCGAAACTAGTAGAGCTTTTCTCAGTATATTCACGTGAGTAACCCGCGATTTTACTTTATTATGGAGTTTTTTAATAAATTCTCAGTAGTAGCACGGAGTCTGGAATTGTGCCCGGTATATGGCAATAGGCTCACCCGCTATTACATGGGATTCATAACATGAATAGTGAAAAGTGGGCGTTACACTGTAAGTACCGTAATGTGCACCTCTATCGACCCATTCGGGATAAAACGTGTATTTTTATGTTATGTAGAAAAAAAGCTGGTGTAGCACACAATGCGTTGTTTCGTTGCGTCGCGCAACGGACAAGTGAAGCCTCACTCTAATCAGTGAAGGATGTTGTAATAAAAAAAAACACATATTAACAAAAAATCAATAAACTTTATTTTTACAAATACTTACATCTACTTACAAATGTATTTACAATATCACTTTTTCAATTATTTTGAGTTAGGAATCGGATTTTCGATACTTAACCCACATGTTATTAAAATGGTAAAAATTTTTACACAAGGAGATTGCAACCTTCTATTTAATAATGTGTGTCCATTACATTTAGATTAAAGTTGTCTAAAGGGCCTCTGCGCAGTTGGCTTCGGCCCCTCGTACGCCTCCCAAATGACCGGGACCCTGTGGTCCCGTGAATAGTAAAGACATACATAATATTAATAATACGAATTACTACCTGACCCGGCGAACTTCGTACCGCCAAAAGTCTTTTCTCACCATTTAAACCTTCCCTGGACTTCCACGAACAATTTAAGACCAAAATTAGCCAAATCGGTTCAGCCGTTCTCGAGTTTTAGCGAGACTAGCGAACGGACATTCATTTTTATTAATATATATGTACTTCCTTAAAACAATCCATTGTCTTTAAAATAACCATGTTTCGAATCGAAAATCCGATACCAAACTACTGTATATAAATCAACAAACTGGCACATTTAACATTTATTGATACTTTACATAATATATATAAAAATAACAAAACATGAACTCCTTTGTTTACACAAACCTGTATTTAAGTGACGCCTAAGAGTACAAGTAACACTTTAGTTTAGGTACTGCACGCTAAGTAACTCTTAGTTTAAGAGATGGCTTAGGGGCAAGCCGAAGACAAAACAAAACCGCTGCAACTCCTGTGTACCAGGATCTACAGTAGATACAACCATGACAAAACTGGAACACTGAAGTCCGACGCGTCCCAGGGACATGAATAACAGTTTTGGTTCCCGTAACGAAATGAACCAGAAGATATTATTAGAGAAAGAAGAAAAAACATGGTTTAAGATGTTTTTGGTGAAGTTGACTGCCGAGTTGTCGCAAGGGCGACTGCTGGGCAAGGGGTCTCGGGTTCGTTTCCCAGGACGGGAAAAATATTTAGATTGAAAGTATTACTCGGTTTTAAACAAAATCTCAGCAGTAGCATGGTGTCTGGAATTGTGCCCGGTATATGGCAATAGACTTACCCCCTATTATAACTGTATAAAGGACTCATAACATAAGTAGTGAAAAGTGGGTGTTACTTCTGTGTGCACCTCTGCCTACCCCTTCGAGGATACCAGGTGTGATATTATATTATATTATGTTGAATTTGTTCATAATCATGAGTGCCAAAATCAGGACTCGAACCAAGTCCAGGTCATATAGACAAATGAACAGAATGAAATATAAATATGTTTGTTCGTATACGTTTGTCCATTTTATCTTGCTAATGTTATAAATTCGTTTCAAAAGCGCATAATTAAGGATTAATTGAAATAAATGCTTTGATTTTGACTTTGACTTTGAATGTGGAAGTTTATATTTGTGTGTTTGTATATTACTCAATCACATCATAACGGATGAAGGGATCGGGATTAAATTTGGCACAGGAGTAGATTATGGTCCGAAATAACACATAGGCTACTTTTTATCCGAGGACATGGACGAAGCAGCGTGTGCGTTACGTTAGCAAGAATTACAGAAGACAACATCTGGCCTGGGTAACGCATACCGAAGCAGTAACGAACAGACGGATTACATTACCTGATGGTAAGTAATCAGCGCCGTCCATTGAAACCCGCAACACTTACGGAGTTCCAAGTCCGTAGCCGGTATTTTGAGGGTTAAAAACTTGAGGATTTAAACAAATTAGGCATTGAGAAGATTGAGGAGAGGGGGTATTGGGCATCTGGTAACCTCACTCACACGACGAAACACAACGCAAGCGTTGTTTCACGACGGTTTTCTGCTCGGTCGTGGTATCACTCGGTCGAGCCGATCCATTCGTGCCGAAGCATGGCTCTCCCACACTAATATACTTCAGTACTAAAACTGGTGTTCTTTCAGCATTATTATATTCTTAAACGGTTTCATTTAGCTTGCCCCGTTTATTTATTTGAATTAAATTTAATAATTGGAATTTCACCCCCTTCTTGACGACAGATCGATCTGATATTTGGTTCACACTCAATCTTGATCACAATACAATATAATCTATTTTTTTTCCACAACTACCTCCATTGTCAAATGAGAAGACTTGTTTGGTAGAATAGAGCTCATTAAAACCGTAAACCATAAAAAATATGTACTACTTTCTATCTGTGTGTAAACTGGTCTCTTCTAAGTCATACATTCTGTATTTGTCCGTAAAGTTTGGATTACCATTTTGCATTTCCGTGTCGTGAACTTCCTTAACTAACTCTGCCAGCTCCCCCGCGCCGTAGCCAAGTAATTGACGGAGATCGCAGACGAACTTATATACAAATCTGTGAAAACAAACATATATTTGTTAAAATCTAGTCATGTTCTTTTTTGTGCACTATCTCCGTTATCTTTAGACGATGGCGCCTATATATGTCATTTATACCAGTTCTCACAATTTTATTTTGCCTTTTGTGGGTGAGTGCCCACTTCCCTGCATTCTAGCTACTGACTGATATTTATTTGCTTATTTGTTTATGCATTTGTTTTGGGGAAATTTTTACTGCACCTCTATTTAAAAATTTAAGCAATCCAAATGTCTCCACTAATAACCTATCCACATCAAAAAAATTTACCTTAAAACAAAAATACAAATTTGCACACAAATTGTCGAATATCAGATTAGGTTAGGTTTTGTTTTTTTTTTCACGACTTAAGATTATGGGTTAGGTTAGGTTAAGATTTTGTTGCACTCGAAGAATTATTAGATTTACTTTTAGTTAAAAGATAGTCATTCAATAAAACAGTTAAGCTTTAAAGGTTTTTGGTGGTAATTTCGAACATTTTGATTGAAAAAAGGGAATTTACAGTTAAAGTATTAAATACCACCCTTTGATTTGTGCCCTACCTACACCAAATCCATTGAATAGCGATATGATAGCCATTAACGCACAAATCGACACATTTACGAAATATTGCAACACCCAACATGCTGGGTCGACTCCTCGTGTCGCCGCCTCGTGACTTACTTCCACAGTGCTGATGTTGCATTGCAGATGAAACTTTACGTAAAATTTATTCGGTCTATAATATGTATTAATAAAATAATTCACTTTGGTACTAATATCGTCCAAGTCTAGACTTTTATCTGTAAAAGTTTCGATTGTTTCAAAGTCCTCCGGCTGTAACCTACATTATGCATTTCTGTTAGGGAATCTAGTCATGTTAGTTGCCTGCCTCGGCTTCGCATGGGTGCAATATGCATGTATTTACTTAATCTAGACAACAAATTTTATAGCTAGTAATTATTTAAATATTCCCGTTAGAAAGAAAAAGGTCTGGCTGGGGTAACGTTATCCCAGCAGGAATAGTTTCTGTGAAATAATAAAAAAAACTATAATCGCAACAAATTTAAAAATGTGCGCATCAATTACAGAAGCTGCAAAACTAAATATCTATAAGATTCAAATGAAAAGCCGCAGTCAATAGCCAATTCATACGTATAGTGTAAAAAGTATAGACTTACCTCTTCCCTGAAACTTTAGCGATCATATCACCGTCGTAATAGTATCTTAGAGCTCGCGACAATTTCTCATAATTCATAGCCGGCTTGTGTTTCCTAGCGCCCCATAGCGTGGCCACTCTCTCAGGCTCCAACAACTTAAACTCACCTTCAGTACCTGAAAACAAGTAATAAATCTATAATTATCCATTGAATTTACATAACTTCACGCCTTTTATCCCCGAAGGGATAGGCAGAGGTGCACATTATGCCACTGTACAATTTAACACCTAATTTTCACTATTCATGTTATGAGTCCCATGTAATAAGGGGTGAGCCTATTGCCATATACCGGGCACAATTCCAGACTCCGTGCTACTACTGAACATTTTAAAAAAACTCGGTAATTGTTTGCCCGACCCGGGAATCGAACCTGAGGCCACTTGCCCGGCAGTCACACTTGCTACCACTCGGCCAACAAGGCGGTTTATTATATTCGGTTTAATATATTACATTAGCTGAAGAATTTGTCAGTTTGTTTCAAGGCACTAATCTCTGGAGCTACTGGTCCGATTTGAATAACTCTTTTTGTGTTGGATAGTGCATTCATCAAGGAAGGGTATCGAGTATAGAACATCACACTACTATCAATAGGAGTCGAGCAGAGAGGGCGCGAAAATAGCTAGTACTAATATATAAAGTTTGTGTGTTTGTTTATAATAATATCCTTATTTGCTTACCATGCCATCTGATGACATCATAGTACTCCGCGCTAGTTAGTAATTCTAACAAGAACTGCCACAACTGGATCTGACCGTTATTGCCGTTTCGAGACGTCACGTATGATGACCAGTCGTCCTCTGATGGTCTGATCACCACCTGTCGAAGTCAACCATCATTAACATCATTAAATTAACTAAAAATCGCGGGTCACTCATGTAAAAATACTAAGAAAAGCTTTACTAGTTTTCGCGCACGCTGCTCATGAAGAAGAACCCCTCATGTGGCTCGAAACTAGTAGTTTTTCTCAGTATTTTCACGTGAGTAACACGGGATTTTTAGTTAATTTAGTATGTCTCACGATAGTTATTATAAAAAATATTCGGGTAATTTGACCTGCTTAGCACTGTACAAAAAAAACGTGATGTTATCAACATCAATAGCCTATAATTAGCCAATGCTGACCAAAAGCCTCTTTTCACACGGAGAAGGTTTGAGCATTAATCACCGCGGTTGCTCAATGCGGGTTGGCGATTACAAACTTACAATTAGAAATTATAAGCACAGGTTTCTTCAAGATGTTTTCCTTCGCCGTTTGTCAGTGGTGGCTAAATAATCTTAGAAAGTACATATAACTCGGGTATTAAAGTCACATTGTACTTGCCGTTGCGTCACGTGTGCGTTACCCAGGCCAAATGTCGAAAATAGTCATTTGAATCTTATAGGTAATTAGTTTTGCAGCTTCTGTTTTTGTTCCGCACATTTTTAAATTTGTTGCGCTTATATTTTTTTAATTATTTCACAATAACATTTCCTGCTGGGGTTACGGTACCCCAGCGAGACCTTTTTCTTTCTAATGGGAATATTTAAATAATTAGCTATAAAATTTGTTGTCTAGAGGAAGTAAATGTTGTGCCTTATTTTGTATTTGTTCTTTCATTGATTGCGAAGTTATTCGAGATTTTGCTGGGGTAACGTTTTTGGTTTTGCTAGATCTTTGAAATGGTTAAGCGGATTTTCGACAACATCTGGACTGGGTAACGTACACTTGCGTCACCTCCAGGCCACCACAACAACTATAATATTATATTATTTACCTGTTTTGGTTTCTTCTTTATAGCAGATTGTGGAACTTCTAGAGGATCTTTCACCGTCTGCTCATCATTTTGAATCACAGCTGCAAATAAATTCATGATTAAACAAGGTTTTAATCACACGTCCTCGTCATCAGTAGAAATGGGCATATCTAATGAGCACAAACTCGACAGGTTCCAGCAGTCCAAGGTTCCATCAGCATTCCAATTCCATCATCAAAACAGCTCGACATAAATAACATAACATCACGCTTTTTGTCCCCGAAAGAGGTACAGATGCACATTACAACGTAACACCCACTTTTCACTATTTATGTTATGAGTCCCATGTAATAGGGGGTGAGCCTATTGGTTGGCCACACAAGCGACCACTCGGCCAACGAGGCAGTCAGCATAAAAAATATTGTTATTATTACGTGACTTACCAATAAATTTACATTTCCTCAGCAATTCAAAATGTGTCCAAAATATATCCCCCGGGTCCGATGGTACTTTTTCTCTGAAAAAAAAAAAATGTACACATGTACACTACATAGTATAAAACATAGTCAGTTGCCGCTGTCTATCCCTATATATGCTCAGATCTTTAAAACTGCGCAACAGATTTTGATGCGGTTTTTTTAATATATAGGGATTCAAGAAAAAGGTTTACAAAGTTCAAACTCGTGATTCTTAGGATACTTTTATCCATTAAATGGTCCCATGGGATAAAACAGGAATCATATTCTACGCGAAGTCGCGGGCAAATGCTAGTAATTCGGTATTTTTGTTAGTCAAAAATAAATTATTTCGACTGTTGAATACAATAAAATATTAAAAATAATCACACTTTCATTAATTGATTTTATGACCAATTTCATTTCAGGATTTTTCCTGCATTTTTTTACGAAATAAGTATGCTGTTTGATGTTAAAAAACGTGACGTCACAAGACACAATCTCGTACAAAATTATAGAAAACTGACGTTTTTGACAGTTCGAAAAAACTATTGAATTTGACTGATAATTTAATACTCACTTGAATTCTACATTGTTGATAGCGCACAACTCTTCGCCGGATATATTCCAGTCAGACAGTTTGATACCAATCAGATTGAATTGGCGGACGGCCCACTGAATCCATAGTTTCACATGCTGAACCGACCTGCGGATATTTATTTATGGTTTAGAACATAAATAGTGACTTATTCTATGGTAGCTAAAAATGGCGGGTTCTTCCTCATGAGCAGCGTGCGCGGTCGCGGCGATGTCACGCAGCCTACTGGCAAGCGTTGGCGCTCGCATCGGTGTTGCTACTCGCGCTAAGCCCGTGATTAACCTTTAAGCTATGTATTATTTTGTTTTTTTATTGCCGACCTAATTTAAACTAATTCCTAAAAAGCCATGTACAATATGATAAGAATCCGCTTAACCATTTCAAAGATCTAGCAAAACCAAAAACGTTACCCCAGCAGAATCTCGAATAACTTCGCAACCGATGAAAGAACAAATACAAAATGAGCCACAACATTTACTTCATCTAGACAACTCATTTTATAGCTAATAATTATTTATATATTCCCATTAGAAAGAAAAAGGTCTGGCTGGGGTAACGTTACCCCAGCAGGAAATGTTTTAGTGAAATAATTAAAAAACTATAAGCGCCACAAATTATAAAAAATGTGCGCAACAATTACAGAAGGTTATATGTAATTAAGGATATTATAGATAACTAGCTTCTGCCCGCGACTTCGTACGCGCAATCCCATTTTGCCCCGTTCCCGTTCGTGATTTTCGGTAAAAAGTAAAAAAAAAGTATTCTATAAAAAGTATCCTATGTCCGTCTCCTGGTTCTAAGCTACCTCCCTGCCAATTTTCATCTAAATCGATTGAGGCGTTCTTGAGTTATAAATAGTGTAACTAACACGACTTTCTTTTATATATATAGATTATCTATAAGATTCAAATGACCATTTTCGACAACATCTGGCCTGGGTAACGCACACGTGCGTGTCGGTATAGGTTTCTTAATTTTTAAAATTGATGGTAATTTTAATGAGTGCCTTAATGCTTTTACTCTAAAAACTTATTTAAAATTGACAACACGGTTTGTGCGGTGGCTGGGCAACTGGTTGCCGAGCAACGTGTCGCGGGTTCGATATTCCCGCACGGAGCAACTGTGTGATCCACAAATTGTTGTTCTGGGTCGTCTGGGTTGTCTGGGTCTGGGTGTCATGTGTATGTGAACTTGTATGTTTGTAATCGCACCCACGACACAGGTGAAATCCTAGTGTGGGGAGTGTGGGGCAGGGCAACGTTATTATAAAAAAAAATGTTATATATTGTCATTTGTAAGTATATTCAATGGGTTTATAAAATACTTGTTAAAAGAATGTGAGTAATACAAACCAAGTATGGTTTAATGGTGCAAAAAATGGTTTAAAACTGTACTGAAATGTAATAATAAATACTAAAAACTATAATAAAAAAAAAAAAAAAAAAAAAAAAAAAAAAAAAAAAAAAAAAAAAAAAAAAAAAAATAAATAAATAAATAAAAATAATTCGTATCACTTTTTTTTCAAGGGGGGTAAAATCATCGAATGATTTATATAACTATTCCCGCCTGGGTGAGGCCGGAGGGAGTGTCAGACTGATGAAAAACCACCCCGTTCCTTCTCCTGCACGTCGAGCCGGAGTCCCGGTAACCCGTTAGGTTCTCCGCGACAATTTGTATCACTAGCTTCTGCTTCCGCCCGTGCTAACGCCCGTGTTTCCGTATAAAAAGTAGCCTATATGACTCTATTCTATATATTAAAAATTAATTCCTTTTTCCCTTGGTCACAGCATCACGCGTGAATGACTGGACCGATTTCACTAACTCTTTTTTTGTTGTATTTGTTATTATTAGAAGGTACTTAAGACAGAAAAAATCCTGAAAATCCTACGGGAACGGAAGAAAACGGGATTGCGCGTACGAAGTCGCGAGCTGAAGCTAGCAAATTATATTCTTTTTTAGACTTACTTCAATAACTGTTTGACGAGGAACTCGACTAGTTTCAAGCTATGCTAGGGGCTCATATTCATGAACAAACAAAGTCAAATTATCAAATCTAAAGATTGATTTTCAAAAAATTATTAAGTGACAACCCGCATGTGTGGTGATTAATGCTCAAACCTTCTCCGTTTGAGAAGAGACCTTTGGTCAGCAGCTGCAGTCAGCACTTATAAGCTGATGTCTGATGTATGATTCTAGAACAGATGTAGGTACTAACCATTCAGCAGGGTCGTCCGGCACTCGAACCCGGTGTTCACTTTTAAACTGTGCATCCACTACCCACTTGACCGCCGCAGCATGTGACACAGGTTCTGATACTTCTTCAGTTCGACTGGAAGCAGCCAAGGGCTCTTCGAATTCCAATACTGTGAACAAACCATTATTGTCATCATCAGAACCTTGACTTCACAGAGCGCAACTAATACATGGCAATGCATATAAAAACTGATGAACAACAATATATCTTTTTTTTATGGCATAAGCCGGTAAACGAGCAGACGGATCACCTGATGGTAAGCAATCGGCGCCACCCATGGACACCTGAAACACCAAAGTGCGTTACCGGCCTTTTGGGAATTGGGAATTTGAGGATTGTTGGGGATTGGGGAGGAACCAAACACAACGCTAGCGTTGTTTCACGTCGGTTTTCTGTGAGGCCGTGGTATCGGTCTGGTCGAACCGGCCCATTCGTGCATAAGGCGAGAGAAGTAATTGGATGATTTGTCCCACCTCAAAAAAAATCTCATTTTATTTATTTATTTAAAACCTTGCCTAAAACTATCATTACAGTATTCTCCATTGCGATTGTTTAGGCCTAAAACCAAATCTATGTACCTAATTACTAATTTAAAACAAGACAAAATTAAAGACAAAAGACTTACAATCATCATCCATCTGGTTTGGCAACTGGACCAGCTCCTCGTCAGGTTTCAACACATCCAGGATATTTATCTTCCTCTCAGCAGATCTGATCTGAATGTTCACTTGTACAACACCTTCTCCTCTAATACACTGCTCAACTAAGGTCTTGTGGTTCTCCAACTGAAACCAATAAACACATATATTTTTGACGAGCTCACTGCTCGGTTCCTATTGGTTGTAGCATTATGTTCTATAGCCTAGCCTTCCTTGATAAAAGGACTATCCAATCCAGTAAGATTTATTCAATACAAAGATTATAGACAAACAAACAAACCCAGAATCTGCAAGCGACGCAAATTAAATATTCAGCTAGCAATAATACAGTTATCAACAGTCACAGATGACATCCCAAAATCCTAGATCACATAGGTAATATGTAAAGTTTATACGTGATTAAACATGGATACTACTACCGTTTTTTATATATTTATAATTTTAATTTTGTCTTAACTGTCAGTATTTGTGTGAATCTGTAAGTGGCTCAATGCTGTAATTTTTCTGCTATCACATAGGTAATATGTGAAGTTTATACGTGATTAAACATGGATACTACTACCGTTTTCGACATATTTATAATTTTAATTTTGTCTTAACTGTCAGTATTTGTGTGAATCTGTAAGTGGCTCAATGCTGTAATTTTTCTGCTAAATTTCTATAATGTAGCTGTTGATTCACTATTTAATTAATAAATAAATATCCCAACGGACAACTGCTAGGCAGAAAGCCCACCAGGCACGAACACCTCGCCTGGTCGAAAGATCATCCTTTTCCGATCGTAGGGAACTCTTTGGTTTTATAATATAAGTATAGCTTATAGTAGATACAAAACCAAGTCGATTCTGTCCAAGTTGATTTATAGGCCGCATGGGTCCAATATGTATGTATTATACATATAAACCTTCCTCAATAATCTCTCTATATATAAAAAAAACGCATCCGTTGCGTAGTTTTAAAGATCTAAGCATACATAGGGACAAACAGACGGCGGATAGCGACTTTGTTTTATACTATGTAGTGAAGAACTCACCATTTTAGCATTTTGCAGCCAAAACGTGTAATCAGAGAGATCACATCCCAGTCTCCGTTCTAACATGGCTCGGAGACGAGATAAATTAGTTCTGATGTCCATCAACTGGACTATCACCTCGTCTGAAACGAATACACACATAATCTTTATTATAATATTTGTACACAGTGGGGGAATTTTAGGAATGCGGCGGATTCGGAAATATGGGAATTCAAAGTCAAAGCATTTATTTCAATTAAACCATAATTTGTTTTTATAATAACTATCGTGAGACATACTAAATTAAGTAAAAACGCGAGTGAGCTGCGCGACGTCGCCGCGACCGCGCACGCTGCTCATGAGGAAGAACCCCTCTGTGGTTCGAAACTAGTAGAGCTTTTCTCAGTATATTCACGTGAGTAACCCGCGTTTTTACTTAAAATAAACCATAATTTGGTACTTTTGAAACGTCAACAAATCTAATACATATATAAAAATGAAACCCGTTTTGCGTTGTCACGACATATCATGAATACGGCTTGACCGATTCGACTGTTTTTTGTTATTCATATTAAGTAGTTATTATTAGTAAAAGGTTCCTAACTCGTTGAGTACCGTCATTATAGACACAATTAAAGAACAATAGGTTGCGGTCACCGGTGACCTCGCGGTGTTTGACAGTTTAACGACAGAAAAAATCCTGAAAATCCTAGGGGAACGAGAGAAAACGGGATTGCGCGAACGAAGTCGCGGGCAGAACCTAGTACAAAATAAATAATAGTCTGTCAGACAGTCCGTCAATGAAGTTAGGTGAAGCTAAGTGTTCATTCCAAAATGTTGATTCAAAAGGAGAAGAACGAGCATGAATCTCCGTACTTGGGAAGATATTCGGGGATACTGGGGAGGGAGGTAATCGGGTCTCCAGTAACCTCACTGACACGACGAAACACAACGCAGGCGTTGTTTTACATCGGTTTTCTGTGAGACTGTGGTATCACTCCAGTCAAGCCGGCCCATTCGTGGCGAAGTATGGCTCTTCCACACTTGAATGTCCTTTGTAATGTCTCATTTTATTATTTATTTATTTATTATAACACCTTACAATATGACATCTTACAGTTTATTCCAATGCAATATCACATTTCCTGACACATTTAAGTCTAACACGTAACTTAATTAATAAATATTTCACCTTAATTATTAGACTTATAAGAGTTACATACTCTCCGTATGACATACATATTATAACCATACAGACCCAATTACTCAATACGGTGATATTCAATATGCCTTTGTACTGCTTCAATAAACCTTGGTAGGTTGTGGAACAAATCATGCTCCGGTACACTATTTATAATCCGAATAGCACGCGAAATAGGAGCATATTTAAGAAGATTAGTCCTAGCCCTTGGCACTTCCAACAGGGTGGCGCGTCGACGAGCCCCTACGTATCCGTCTGGCACACGCAATCCCAACATCTCCAACACTTCCGGGTGATGGATTTTAGCACTATATACCTTACGTGACTATGTGACGTTTATTTATTTTATTTATTTAACACTTTTGTACAAATGTATACAATGGCTGACTAAATGCCGAATGGCATTCTCTACCAGCCAACCATAGGGTGATGCAGAGAAGTGTTACAGTAGGTTTTAAACGAAGTTTGCAAAAACGAGGGTGATAAATGATGGTTTGTGGATGGTTTAATAAAATGGTTTCCTGTATTTTGTCACATAGGATTATTTCGCTGAATTGGCATACTACATGAGCATGCTACGTGAACAAATTGTGTTATGAGAGTGGATTATATAACTGTCATTATGTATTTTACTAAACATCGTCAGGGCCCGGAAGTTTAAGACTCTCACTTTTCAAGTGTAATATGTATTGCAGGTTCGAAACCTACCAATGGCAAGCACCAATGTGACTTTTTCTACTTAATTATAATACATTTTTAAGATTATTTGAACAAATAGTTTATATCGAGGGGTAACAGATTATTTGGTTTAAGCGACACTTTGGGCAATATTGAGTTATTTTATATATTCGATGGAGAAAAATTTGCTGATCCCAAATATATATATAACTCAATATCGTTCAAAATGTTGCTTAAACCAAATAGTCCATTACCCCTCGATATAATAATAGCTGGGCTTATAATTTCTATAAGTTTGTAATTAGTAATTATGGGGATTAATGCTCAAACATTCTCCATGCTAAAAGAGGCCTTTGGTCAGCAGTAGCCAATGATAGGCTATTCATGTGTGTATTTTATTGAATGCTAGTTTTTTCTGCGAATCTATTAGAATTAGAATTTTTCCTGCCCTAAAACAGACATTTTAAATTAGACGACAGGTGTACACAACCAGTAAAAAACCTGGCATTTGTTAATTAGTCATAAGTGAAACCATACCACTGCTCTCCGTACTCTGCATAGTGTCATCTTCGTCAGGAGTATCAGAGAAAACCGCTAGGGGAGTCTGCAGTATCTCCCCACCAGCTTGCATTAGACCTGTAATGTTGATACATTATTTTATGGGATTTTTTTTATTTTTTTTTTTAAGGGGGGAAAATCATCGAATGACTGCCCCCGCCTGGGTGAGGCGGGAGGGAGTGTCAGACTCTTACTGACTAAAAACCACCCCGTTCCTTCTCCTGCACGTCGAGCCGGAGCCCCGGTTACCCGTTAGGTTCTCCGCGACTCCGAATCGGCATCGGCCCTATTGGGCCCCATCTGTGGTGGTCTGATGGCTCTTTGAGGCGCGCGCGGAACGCGACGCGCCGTACGCTCGGGTCTGTTTCTGGTCGGACGGGGAGCCACCCATGCTCGCCGTCCGCAGGCCCGCGCTTACGGTGGCCGGAGATCGTCCCGCGATCCCCGACGCCCGGTGTGTCCTTCGCGATGGCTGGGTTGCGAGGAAGCAGCGCTTCGCTGCCTCACGCGTCCCGCCTCCTCCTTAGCTAGCATGACTGCTTCGCAAAAGGAGGAGACGGCATCCCAATCCCCCTCGCTCCGCATCATGGCCTGCACTAGGCCCGGACGCGAGAGGTCGCCATCGCCGATCACTTCCCTGAGGACACGGCGGTGCTCAGCCCACGAAGGGCATTCTCCCACCGTGTGTTCCACCGTGTCCTCAGGGCGGTCCTCGCAGTGATGACACCCGGGCGTTTCCTCCCGCCCCATCAGACACAGGTACCTCCCGAAACTTCCATGTCCGGTGAGGACCTGCGTCAGGCGGTAGGTGAGGACGCCGTAGCGTCTCTCAAGCCACTCCTCAAAGAGGGGACTTACCGCTGCGATGGCAGCGAGCCCAGCCCTCGGTTGCGATATTTTATGGGATAGAGTTATATTTTTAAACCAAACGTCGTGAAAATCAAAAGGTGTCTCTGTCTACCTATAAGTAATTTATATTTATTTAGTTTTTATTACTATTAAATATAATTATGTTCAGATTATTTCAAATTAAATAAAAACACGACTGAAACAATAAACTAATAGAAAAACATTCGAGAACAACAAAATTGAGGTTCTCGTTACGAAACTTTACCCACTTTTGTGTATATTTGTTGTTTTAGTACACAAATAAACTAATTTAATCTTACCTAGGTCTGATTCAGTGACGTACTGAGGTATTATAGATAGAGGATCAGAACTTTCGACTGTATTCTCATCAAATGCTGAATCTCCTTGTTCCATTTTGATAGATCGTACATTAAGCAAATCGTTTAGATCGGTCACTTCCATTTTTGATCACAATAACTCAAGACACCAGAAAAATAATATGAAAAACTGTAATAAACAATCACAGAGCACTAATTTATTGAAAACTTTTGTTAAGTTTTGAAATTTTAGGAAAAGGAAATCGCTCGAATGTCCACTTCCGCGTGCGCCTAAAATGAAAATCCATAGACAACGTCCAGTAGCTGTCATTTTTTGACAGTATATCACATAATTGTCTATGTTCATCGAGTGTTGACCTATAAAAAAAATAATCAGTCTCTTTTCTATTGTAAGGAACGCAACCAGTCCTAGCGCTTCCTAATAGCTATATGCTGTGATATTACTCTTAGGAAAAGATTTTCTTACCGAGGCATAAAAAGAAGATTATAAAAACATTCCTTTCTCTTCATGAGTTAGATAGGTATTCAAAATGAAATCTTTTTTGATTTTAATCGTATGTAATAACTGGCCACCGGTGGTCAAACAACCGGATGCCATTAAATATTATTTTTATTTATTTTTCATCGAGATTTTAATGGTTTTAATATTTTTTTTCAACGATTCTGGCCTGTCTTAACTTGTACAATAATAAAAACTTTTTACGTTGAAACCACAGATAACACGCAGAATCATTCTACTTGTAGCCGAATCGGCGGGAATTTTTGAAAAATGCCGCAAAGCCTTAGAATCTCAGAATTATTTTTATTAACTTTCGTATCAAAATAAAAACTTTACTTTGGTAATTATTTCAGGGCATCTAGTTTATTACTGGTGTCATAGCAATGTTACGATAATATTAAAAATGAAAAAAAAAACGGAAACTTACAGCTACGAACAATAAGTGAACCATACGATAAGCGAATGGGAAGGTTATACGAAGCTTAAAATTAAATAAGTAATCAATATCCACCAAATCATTTCCACCATGTCATGTCATACATAATTCATCGTTTCCCAGCATCGACTCTGCTAAAGTAAAGTTTCATTTTATTTAATTTCAGCCATGATCGTCCTACTGCAGGGCAAAGGCCTCCGTAGCCTCCTTCTCTATATAAAGCTTTTTGCGTCCAATTCTTGTCATAGATGTCCAATTCGTGCTGCCATCTCGTTTTGGGCCAATCGCGACGTCTCTTAACGTTGAGTGGGCTCCACTCAGTAGTAAGTTTTGCCCACCGTTCATCTGAATTGCGGCAGACATGACCAGCCCAATTCCACTTCAAGCCCGCGGGTTCATGACCTTATCAACGTAAACGATTATAGTTGTGGAGCGCAGCGTGGTGTTCCTAATTCTGTCCGATAGTCGAACTCTTGACAAACCTTGACTTTAGACTTCTGATGTTGTGTCAAAGAGCAAGTGTGAGCGCCTTAGGTGAGGATGGGCAGAATACACACGTCCATTAGTTTCTTTTTGAGCGCTAATGGACCTTTCATTATGTCGTTCATGTACCCATAGCTCTTCCAGGCGTTTTCGGTGCGTCTAGCAACTTTTCTATCTTGTCTCGTCTGGAAAGAAACTAGTTGGCCCAGATAGATTATATTCTTCGACGTATTCCATTTCTGCGCCATCTACCTCAACCTATATTTCATGCTGTTGGTCATTAGTTTGGTCTTCGACATGTTCAACTTCAATCTTACCTCAATAAAGGTAGTAAAAAAAAATGAAAATTACATGCTCATTTTATAAATAATGAACTAATTCATAAATAATTTCATACACATTGAAGTTCAATAATCCAATTATTATTTTATTGATGAATTATTTTATGCAAGGAAGTTGAAATTTTATGAAACAATATTATCGAGCGTCGATGTCATTGGTGTAACGTCTTAAAAGACCAATACTACATCTACGGCACGAATAAAAAAAAACATTTGTCGTGTTGTCAAAAGAAATTGTTCAATACAATCCAAAATTGTGTATGTAAAAAGGTATTTTATAAATGAAATTAACAGTAAACGGTTTTATTAATCAACCGGACCATGTAAATTAAACATGCGATAACGAAAAAGTACATTTTCCAAGTCATATATTCAGTGTTAATCGTACATATAAGTTGTATATTGTAAAAATATATTTTGCTAAAATGGATGGAACTTGGGTCCTTATTTTGCTTGCTCTGGTGATGCTAGTGGGATCCTATGTTGCTGGCAGTATACCTTTGAACGTGACGATGTCTGAGGTGAGCCTATTTTTCCGTATACATCCTCTTTTGTGGTTAAATTCGACTAATAATGTTAACCAGCTGTGATCTACGTTTCGCTCCACTTTGTAATAACTTTTTTGCGGAAGTATCATTTTTTATAACCCTTTTATGTCATGTTAAGACTGTTTATTAGCCTACTTTATTAACTGCAAAAAGAAACAAAGAATAAGCGCTATTCCTTATTATAATCTATCTTTGTGTCAAACTTCATTGAAATCAGTTCAATAGTTTTTGCGTAATAGTTAAGTAAGTTTCGAACTAGCATTTATAATAGTAGCATGGAAGGATAAGTTTGAAATATGTTAAATTATTAGATACTGATATTACAAGTGCGAAAGATTATTTTTTTATATGTTACTCATTTGTTTCAATATGGCTGGAAGGATTGGGATGGAATTTGGAACAGGGGTAGACAATGGCCTGGAAAAACACATAGGCTATTTTCTACTCTACGAGAATGCAGGTGAAGATGCTGGATAGAGCTCATAATAAATATTTTACAGGAATTAATAAACAGCTGCAGCTGTAGCCAAATCCAATTTAGCGTTTGTCTACAATCTACATGTAGAATAGAAAACCAATTTATATGGAATTGACATAAATTTTGACACTTGTCAGTGCCGTCCCTTTAGCCAAACGCCACTTTTTTATAGTTACATTATTATTGCACTATTACTGATAACAATAGATCGAGATAAAGTATGTTTTATGTGTAATTTCGTGTTACAGCGGTAGTTAGCAACACTATTATTATTTCTGTTTTATAAGTGTTAAAGCCTTATCAAGTTTTATAGCTTGTTATAGAATGTAAAACTTAGTTTTTTTATACATAACATAACATCACGCCTTTTATCCCAGAGGAGCACATTATGGCACTTAATGCCACAATGTAACACCCACTTTTCACTGTTTATGTTATGAGCCCCATGTAATAGGGGGTGAGCGTATTGCTATATACCGGGCACAATTCCGGACTCCATGCTATTACAGAGATTTTTTTTTAAAACTCCTGAAAATACTTTGCCTGACCAGGGAATCGAATCGAGACCCTTTGCCCGGCAGTCAAACTTGCGACCACTCGGCCTATGACAGTACAGCTTTTTATAATTTAAGTAGTGGACCGCGCGAATGACACCCGTTTCCCGTTGTCACGCCATAATTTGAGAACGGCTAGACCGATTTGGCTGATTTTTTTTGTTGTGTTTGTTATTGTCAGGAGAAGGTTTTTATAACAGAAAAATTCCTGAAAATCCTACGGGAACGAGAGAAAACGGGATTGCACGTACGAAGTCGCGGGCAGAAGCTAGTATATATAAAAACAAAATAAAACAATAAATAAACATCACAAAGTTAACAAAAATAGATGCATGCTCGTGCCGCATGGGCCTCCACCTCAGCATTATGTTGAGCGTGGTAACACTCCACGCTGCATTTCTGGTGACACCCTGCAGTGACTCACGGATAGTCGATCGAAAAGACAAATAATAAAGAATCTAAAAATAAACATTATGTAGTGTGTTAGATACAAAAATAAAATTAATAAATAAAATGGATACAAAATAGGTAAGTACATAATATGATACAAATATGTACATGTAGGTAAGAAGTAATATTTAACTCGTCGAGTACCGTCATTATAGACACAATAGGCGTGTCGACAGGGTAAAAAAATCAAAAAAGTAATTAGTCCGTCATTAAGATCGCACGAAAATATCAGACACGTATTTTTTGTTTTATCTAATTAACAGAAGAATACGTAGTTATTCCGCATTAAAGTTAGGGAGTGGGGGGTGTTGACGTCACACTTACGGAGAAATCGTATCTAAGTGTGACGTCACGCGCCATTTTAACTCAAAATATCTACATGTTTTTTTGGATACGAGAAAAAAGAAAAAATACGTATCGAAAATTTTTAAAATATCTAAAAGACGGACAAAAAATTAAAAAATAGTCGCCATGCCTACTATAGAACAATAGGTTGCGGTCACCGGTGACCGCTTGGTGTTTGACAGGTTAAGCTTAATATATGAAACAAATAAATACATCACAATACAATACGGTAGTAGACAACTAGTCAAATTCAATACTTTTATCGAAACGTCAAAAACGATACTGTTCTATGAATTTTGTACGAAATACCATCTTATGACGTCATCATATTTTCGCGGCAAATAACACACTAATATATAAAAAAAACCGAAAATTAAGTATATCGGCAATCAATAAATGAAAGTGTATCTATTTTTCAATATTTAATTGGACTGAAAAATCAAATTACTTAATTTATTTTTGACCCAATTAACTAAAAATCGGGGGTTACTCAGAAAAGCTCTACTAGTCGGCCGGCCAGCGGGCGGGCGGTCGCGGCGATGTCGCGCAGCCTGCTGTCTATTACGACCAGGGTTGCCAAAGCTAATTCATCAAAATCCCCAAAAATCCTGATCGAATTCTCCAAATTTGGGGATAAAAATCCGCTGATTCCCCACAAATTCCCCTCAAAAGTTTTTTTTATACTATAATCAATGAGTTAAATAAATAATAAAATAAATAAATAATATTTAGTTTTTATCTTTTATATGTTTTTCCATATATTAGTTCGAAGGGTTAAACTTGACACTGTCGTCCAGTTTTTTAATCCCTTGCAATCTATTGCGATTTTCAGTTTTTAAATTTTTAAGGAGACTAAATTTGCGCTCGACTTCTCAACGACTCGATGCATTTGATAAAGGCAATACCAGCAATAATGAAATAACAATTTTTATGTTTGAGAACAGGTATTCTCCCGCAGCGTTTTTCATGCAAAACAATAGCCGCACGAGGTACAATTTCATCTTTTTTCAAATCTTCCATACTTTCAACTTAAGGACCTTCATACTTTATGATTCAAAAAATGTTGTCATCGATAATAAACGATGAAACATTTTCCGATGAGAATATGAAGTCAAAATCCCCACATTTTCCCCACATAATGCCAATCCCCAATAAATCCCCAACCACCTTGAAATTCCCCGCAGTTTGGGGAATTCCCCACAGATTGGCAACCCTGATTACGACATTTATTGCGTCTATAGCGACATGGCTACGACCGCGCACGCTGCTCATGACGAAGAACCCCTCTGTAGTTCGAAACTAGTAGAGCTTTTCTCAGTATATTCACGTGAGTAACCCGCGATTTTTAGTTAATTCAGTGTGTCACGATAGTTATTATAAAAATATCACAAGACAAAAATAGCTGGAATAACATAAAGAAGTAGATTAGTAGAAATAAAATAATTGATATAGGTATCTGCTTTTGTCAAATTCTGCTTCCGTTGTGCGTCTATCGTAATCTGACGTAAGCGTTTCCTGAACTTATAAATAGGGTAGATGACTAATTTTTATTTTAATGTCCGTCTGGTAGATTATTTTAAAACATAACCCACGTATTTTTTATTTTTTTACAGAAACGAATACTTTCTACGATACATTGATTTGTAATGTCGCGTGACGTCACTTCTATGTACATTTTAATTTTTATACGTAAAAATGACGTTTTAGCCCCCACTCCCAAACTTTGATTCATTATATCTAATTATTGTTTTATTATACGACAAAATAAAAAAATACGTGTCTAATATTTTTTCATTAGGTACCTAACTGACAGAATAATTAAATTTTTAATTTTCATACCCTGTCATCATCCCTATTGTGAATCAAAATAAAATTTTAACAAGGGTAGATTATGATCTAGAATAAAATATAGGTTACTTTTAATGCCGCTAGAAAATAGGTAGTAGGTATATGATAATGATAACATAACATCACGCCTTTTTATCCCCGTAGGGGTAGGCAGAGGTGCACATTTCGGCACTTAATGCCAGTGTACAAAGTAACACCCACTTTTCACTATTTATGTTATGAGTCCCATGTAATAGGGGGTGAGTCAATTGCCATATACCGAGCACATTTATAGACTCCGTGCTACTACTGAGATTTTTAAAACCCAGTAATACTTTGCCCGACCCGAGAATCGAACCCGAGACCCCTTGCCCGGCAGTCGCACTTGCGACCACTCGGCCAACGAGGCAGTCAGTCAATGATAATGATAACATCAATATATTTGTTTCAGGACAAGCTTCAAAAAGTAACAGTTTTCGGAGCCGGCCTCCTTGTGGGCACAGCTCTGGCCGTGATCATACCCGAAGGCGTTCGTTCCTTGTTCAGTGAACGATCACATCCTACGGTAGTCACGAAGGACTTTACAGCCGAGCCGCCGAGCCATGACGACGACTTACATTCCGTTATTGGAATATCACTTGTACTCGGTAAGCGCTTTTCTTATTTATCAGTTTTTTATCACGATATCCACTCCATAAAGCGGCTGGTCGTTCAGGGTAGAGGGAACCAGATCAAGAGGCAGATCACTGGACTGATCAAAGTCAAATCGGCGACAGGAAACCCAGTGTCTGACTGTCCCAGACAATCCACAGAGGTGGCGGGAGATCGTGGGGAAAGCTGTATCGGCGTCCAACACAAATATGGCGGCCTCAACGTGACCACGACCGCTCTGCCAAGAGCGAAACGACAGAGAAGAGAATGCTTTGCCGGCCTTTTGGGGATTTGGTTATGAGCCCCTCTCATACTCAAATCCCCAAAATTGGGCTTATCAGGCTTCCAGGCTTCCAGTAACATCACTCACATCACATTGTTTCACGTCGGTTTTCTGCTCGGCCGTGGTATCACTCCGGTCGAGCCAGCCCATTCGTGCCGAAGCATGGCTCTCTCACACTTAAGATTTTCATAACTGCCCTGTCGTCATCGCATTTGTTTAAATATATTTACAATAAACAAAATACATCTATATACACAGTGTGTATTACAACCAGTATAATTATTATAATGTTTATCTTATACTTCTTATACTATTATATAAAGCGGAAGAGTTTGTTTTTTGTTTGTTTGTTTGTTTGTTTGTTTGTTTGAATGCGCTAATCTCCGTAACTACAAGTCTGATTTGAATAATTATTTTTGTGTTGGATAGCGCATTTATCAAGGATGGCTATAGGCTATAAAACATCACGCTACGACCAATAGGAGCTGAACAGAGCGTGTGAAACCGCGCGGAAGTAGCTAGTTTATATTATAAGAAGAATATTTGTCATCGCAGTCACCTTAGGCAAATGTATTGTCAACATGTACACTACTGAGCATTTGATGGCTTTATTACACAACATAACATCACGCCTTTTATCCCCGAAGGGGTAGACAGAGGTGCACATTACGGCACTCAATGCCACCGTAAAGGTACAATGTATCACCTATTTTTCACTATCGAGAGGCCGAGTGGTCGCAAGTGCGACTGCTAAGCAAGTCTCGGGTTCGATTCGCAGGTCGGTCAAAATGTTACTGGGTTTTTGAAAATTCTCAGTAGTAGCACGGAATCTGGAATTGTGCCCGGTGTATGGCAATAGGCTCACCCCCTATTACATGGGACTCATAACACAAATAGTGAAAAGTGAGTGTTACATTGTACAGTGGCATTAAGTGCCGTGCCTACCCCTTCGGGGATAAAAGCCGTGATATGATGAGATGAATGTTTTGACTTGAACGTTAATGATGCTGTATTGGTCCCAGGTTTTGTGTTCATGTTGCTGGTGGACCAGATGTCTGCAAGGTATAATGATCAGAGTAACCCGGTGGAGAAGAATGTCACCGCCACTGTTGGCCTTGTGGTCCACGCTGCTGGTGAGTAAATTTTTTGTTTATACGTTTTCCATGGACTCGGGGCCCCGTATAAAAAATTATTTGGCAGGCCATAACTGTGCGCTTCTCACGGTACTTTCTGCCTCGCACAGCAAAACTTTGGAATGATCTGTCGTCGGCGGTATTTCCGAACCGATACGACCTTCAAAGCTTCAAGAAAAGAGCGTATTCTTTTTTAAAAGGCCGCCAACGCTCCTGTGACTCCTCTGGTGTTGCGGGTGTCCATGGGCGGCGCTGATCGCTTACCATCAGGTGATCTGCTCGTTTGCCTCCTATTCCATAAAAAAAATCTAGACTTCACTGACAAACGGTGAAGGAAAACATCGCTAGGAAACCTGGTCTTATAATTTCTAATTATAAGTTTAAAATCGCCAACCCGTATTTAGCAAACGCTCAAACCTTCTCCGTGTGAGAAGAGGCTTTTGGTCACCAGTAGCTTCTAATAGGCTGTTGATATAATCCCTAAAACTAGCTCTTAACTTAGAGTTACTTAGCTTGATGTAGCACCTAAACTAAATCTTTACCTATACTGTTAGGTGTCACTATCACTATTCACTAAAAGGTTGATGTCGTGAAGTGTTACCTATCTCAGCTTAGAGGATTCTTAATACTTAACTGACAGACACTGACAGATTATCTTGAAGATAAGAATGCTTGGCAGCATGTTGGTTAGGCTCCACTGGACAATACTCAAATGTAGTCAGTAGTTAAATTCCAATAGTAGGTAATATAATACATAATTTAATACTTTAATTCTAATGTAGACAATCTAGTTTCCTTATGGCATCGAGCATTTCTTTCTTTATTGAAACAAAGAGTTTCCTTTTTCTTGTATAGAAGCACTATTTCTATGGATTGTCATTATGCATATGTGAGCACCATGTTAGACTTAAGATCTTTATTATTTTTATTTTTATTTTAGTAAGTTATTAGTATAATGCGTCAAGCGTGTCTTTGCATTGTTCTTACATATGCGTACAGTATTGAAATATGTATCAGAGACATTGTAGAACATACTTTTTTAAAAGAGTAACGAATGGAGTTTCTTGCTCGTTCTTCTCCATTCGAATCTACGTTTTGGAATGAGCACCTAGCTTCACCTAGCTTCACTGACGGACTGACTGACAGACTATTATTTATTTTGTATTTGTTGACGTTTCAAAAGTACCAAACTATGGTTTAATTGAAATAAATGCTTTGACTTTGACTTTGACTTTGACTTTGAGAGGTTTAGAAAGAATTAGTTACCTAAGCCAGTCGTATGTGCGGGTCTACGGACGGCGAACAAGGGTAGCTCGCCGCCCAACCAGAACCAGACCCGTGCATACGACGCGTCGCGTTTCGCGCCCCTCAAAGAGCTATTAGACCATCACAGATGGGGCCAAATAGGGCTGGTGCCGATACAGAGCCGCGGAAGGCCTAACGGGTTGCTGGGGCTCCGGCTCGAAGAATCGAGGTGATTTTTAATCATTAAGAGTCTGACACTCCCCCTCGCCTAACCCAAGGCAGGAGAAGTCATTGGATGATTTTCGCCAATCAAAAAAAAAAAACGCCAGTCGAATGTGTTTTAAAAAAACTTGTTAAGGTGTACCTAATCAGTTCACTGTTATCAGTCCCGTGTTATCAGCAATTTAAACGTTACAACTGATTTTTATTAGCACGTACAGCGACATATCAAGCTATACAATACCACTTTATCGTGATCTCGCTTTGTATGATCTTTCCGGACAATCGACGGTCAGCTTATACTGGTTTTACATAGCTTGGTGGGCAACCATGTCACTTGTTTAAATTACAAACCACTTTGATGATGTCATCATAATCAAGTGAGAGGCTACGGCTGGATGGCAGTCTCTAAAAAAAAGTATGGTATTAGCCCGGTAATCGAGCGGTCGGATCACCTGATGGTAAGCAATCGGCGTCGTCCATGGACATTTGGAACACTAGAGGAGTTACACATGCGTTGCGGGTGAGAAGAAGGGATGAGACATCGGGGAAGTCTGGGGATGAGAAGGGGGAGATTTGCGCCTCCGGTAACTCCACTAACGCGGTGAACAAACGATTGTTTGACGCCAGGTTTTTGTGAGGTCGTGTTAAAAGAGTAACCATGGAGTTTCTTGCTCGTTTTTATCTAGGATCTACACCTTGGAGCGAACTCCTAGCTTCACTAATAACGGACGGATTGACCAACTATTCTTTGTTGTATGACATTTCGAAAGTAAATACTCATAAATGCTTTTGAATTTGACCAGCCCCATAGTCATGTAGAACCTAGAGATCGCCCTAAGCAAGCACCTCATCGGCGCCCGTAATTTTATTGCCGCCGCTGCCACTCTATATGAAGTTGTGCACGCGCATCTCACAGCGCCCCTCTGTCACCTGGCAGCCTAGGCATTTTCTTGCCTAGTTTGCCTTAGGGATAATACTCTGCATAATCCTAGGGTTGACTGTTAGAGAATACTAGGCATTAAGTCCGTCATTGTATGTTTTATGTGACAAAAGGTAAAGGCGGTTCTGCACATTGGGCCAACGAATTGCCAGCGCGTTGAGCCAATGTAGTGAATAGTAAATGTCCCTGTTTGCACATTGGGCCAACGCAACGTATCGGGCCATGTAAAATCTCAGTGTTCGTCCACGCCATTGTAATTCGCGAACAACCCACGCGCGACAGTACCGCCTGTACTGACGAATGACAACAAACTGAATGAGTCGCCAATGTGAGAACGCCTACTGTGGAGCGCACCAACATCCTTTGATATTCGCACGAAAAACAGCATTCGGTTTTCCGGCCAACGCTAGTCTAATTTGTAGAACCGCATTAAAATAAAGTTAATAAAATTAAATAATACGACTCTGACAGACACTTTCGTGCCGAAGCATGGAGAACACGTTTCCGTATAATTTTCTTTACTTTACAAAGTGTTGTGTATCTGTGGTATACTCTATGGTCATATAGTATAGTCTGTGGTGATAGATTATTATCTATATGCGCAGCTAAGCCCGCGAATTTGTTAAAAAATCAAAAGAGAAAGACCTAATAAACCAGTGTAACGATAGCTTTCTCTAGTTTTACTTATATTCCGTTTGTGTTTTATACAAATACTTGAAAGAAAGAAAGAAAATCATTTATTCAGCACCAGGCACGATGCAGCATAAATAAAATATAAAAAAGACAATAAAGGTGCGACAGTGGAAGTAAGAGAAACATTGAGTTGAAAAATTAAAACAGAAGAATTAGAAGAGAGACGCTAACAACATGCCTATGCTAAAAGGGTCACCCACTCAGTATAAGCCAGGCATACAAGTCACCCAGCACTGATTTTCAGTGGCACCCACTTGATATAAAATTGTTTTTTTTTTACAGCCGACGGTATAGCTTTAGGTGCGGCCGCGACGACGTCTCACGCTGACGTGGAATTAATAGTGTTCCTTGCTATCATGCTGCATAAGGCACCTGCAGCATTCGGTTTGGTCACGTTCTTACTGCACGCTGGACTTGAGAGGTAAGCAGGTTTAGATGACTTACTGCCCATTTATACGACGATACGACCTTCAAACCTTCAAGAAAAGAGCGTATTCGTTTTTAAAAGGCCGGCAACGCACCTGTGACTCCTCTCGTGTTGGGGGTGTCTATGGGCGGCGCTGATCGCTTACCATCAGGCGATCTGTCTGCTCGTTTGCCTCCTATTCCATAAAAAAAATTAAATAATGTGTTCCGATCCTAAATCGGTGGAATAAGGGCTCGTACACAAAACTGCGATGCGATTTCGTGCGACAAGGCGTCTCCCAGGGTGACTATTCCTTCGACGACCGTCAACCGTACTAAACGTATTTGAAATTGAAAACTAGGTCGTGACATAGATTATAAAAAGAACTGCACTTCTGTTATTGCTTAGGAGATACAGGAAAAGGTAACAAAGAAGATTTTGTGAAGATAAGATTTTGATGCGCGATGCGAATCAATTCGCAAGTTCTTGGGATGCCTAGAGGGAGCTCGCAGATATTTGAGAGCGTCGCATCGCACTTTTGTGTACCTAACCTAACCTAACACCGATTTTTGTTAGAAATTCTATACAACTTATGTCTGAAATCGGTCCTTATTTACAGATTTAGATTTTGGTTTAAAATAGGTAATTGTACAAGCCCTATTTCTTAAATTTTAGCTGGAAAATAGGGTAGTTTCCTAAATTTTATTTTAATGTCCGTCTGGTAAATTATTTTAAAACATTAGACACGTATTTTTTCTTTTATCACAAAATTAAATACTTTCGACGATATATTGATTTGAAACGTCGTATGACGTCACAGCGTGCAACAAAATATAGCACGTTGTGACGTAACTATCTCCCACTCCTAAACTTAACTCCATTTTATCTAAGTATTGTAACTTTATACGAGAAAATAAAAAAATACGTGTCTAATTTTTTTTTCATTATCTAACCGACGGACTAATTAGATTTTTAATATTGATACCCTGGAAACGACCCAATTCGCTTATAAAGTACTAGCTACTCCGACGCGATTTCTCCTGCTGCTCAAGTACTGATAGTAGCATGATGTTTATTCATTTGAAAATAATTGGTAGGCTTCCGGTAACCTCACCCCAACGTTGGTTTTCTGCTCGGCCGTGGTATCACTCCGGTCGAGCCGGCCTATTCGTGCTGGAGCATGTATCTCCCACAATTATTTTTTTGTTATTGTATTGGAAACAGTTTATAGTTGTTTTTAGTTTTATTTTAATTAATTTTTATCTTAAGCCTAACCTTATATTTAACTAGCGACCCACCCCGGCTTCGCACGGGTGCAATATGCATGTATTATACATACAAACCTTCCTTAAGAATCACTCTATCTATTAAAAAAAACCGCATCAAAATCCGTTGCGTAGTTTTAAAGATCTAAGCATACATACGGACATACAGCGAAAGCGACTTTGTTTTATACTATGTATTGATTTAGTAATAGTTAGTTTTAATTTTATTTAAGTTTTTATTGGAAATTAATTTATTGTGCCTGGACCTGACGACACAGGGAATCCTATTGTGAGGTCCAGGACACAAGAAAATTGTAGTGTTTTCTGAAATACTTATTGTTATTTATTTTTGCCGACTGCCTCGATGGCCGAGTGGTCGCAAATGCGACTACCGGGCAAGGGGTCTCGGGTTCGATTCCCGGGTCGGGCAAAGTATTACTGGGTTTTTAAAAAAAAATCTCAGTTGTAGCACGGAGTCTGGAATTGTGCCCGGTATATGGCAATAGACTCACCCCTATTACATGGAACTCGTAACATAAATAGTGAAAAGTGGGTGTTACATCTGTGCATACCTCTGCCTACTCTTTCGGCGATAAAAGGCGTGATGTTATGTTATTTTTGATTGACGAAAGTACCCAATTTATGATTACAGGAATAGAATTCGTAGACATCTGCTGATATTCTCGTGCGCAGCTCCGCTACTAGCTCTGCTTACCTACTTCGGTATTGGAAACGAGAGCAAACAGACGCTAAGCGATTTCAACGCCACTGGTAAGTTAAAAACTTAATTCCTAGTTATTCATGTAATACATACAAACATGATATGACTGCCTCGTTGGCCGAGTGGTCGCAAGTGCGACTTCCGGGCAAGGGGCTTTGGGTTCCCGGGTCGGGCAAAGTATTACTGGGTTTTTAAAATCTCAGTAGTAGCACGGAGTCTGGAATTGTGCCCGGTGTATGGCAACAGCCTCACCCCCTATTACATGGGACTCATAACATAAATCGTGAAAAGTGGGTATTGATATACTTAATGATTAAGTGCACTACTGCCTACCCCTTCGGGTATAAATGGCGTGATGTTATATTATGTGATGAAAACCGTTTAATATAAAAATATTTTGATGTAAAATTACTAAATTAATTGATTTTGGCTTGCTTACGTATCTGTTTGACGAGGAACTCGACTAGTTTCAAGTCATTCTAGAGGCTCATATTCATGAGCAGTATTCCGCGACAGCTGCACGGTTGGTGCGGTAGTTGGCATGCCGCGCAACGTGTCGCGGGTTCGATTCTCGTACGGAATTACTCATATATGATCCACAAATTGTTGTTCCGGGTCTGGGTGTCATGTGTATGTGAACTTGTATGTTTGTAAACGCACCCACGACACAGGAGAAATACCCTTTTTGTTTTAAAAAAAAGAGTATAGAGTATCTCACGGAAGTTTTAATGTAAAATTACTTGTTAATATTTCTTTATTTGCTTTAAATTTTATATATAACTTATATATTATCCTTTTTTTTTCAGGTATAGCAATGTTATTCTCAGCTGGTACATTCCTATACGTGGCTACAGTCCACGTATTGCCCGAACTGACTCACCCCCAATCACACACACACACGCTCCTACCAATGCAGGAGGGGGTAGCCCCCAAAAAGGGTTTCGGGGGCCTCCTACTCTCAGAGATGATAATTCTAACCGTAGGCGCGCTAATGCCCCTACTTTTAACAATGGGTCATAAGCATTGATCTACAAAAATGCTTGACAAATAATGATTAGATTTTGTTAAATTATAGGTCATTTTTTGTGTTGGGACCATTTTTTCTAGGGGCTGATTCTTTGAAAGACATTATTTTAGGATTATTAAAATAATGAGTTTTGCTTGTAAAAATTATTAATTTTGGCACTGGTAACATTATGACAGTACCCCTACTGGACTATGGACTTCCTCCACAAAAGATTGACATTATCTCCACGCTTGGTAGACAGGTTGGAGAGTTCTCAATTGGTGTACAATGCGTATCTCATGAAATATGCGCACTTATCTCCATTCCTTTGAGAAATCATGTCAAATGTACATACAATACACAAAGATATTTTTTTTATAACAACTATCGTGAGACATACTAAATTAACTAAAAACCGTGAGTAACACGCGATTCTTAGTTGATATCATTTTTATTTAAAAAAAATTCATGTAATATATCCAAAGAATCGCCCCTGTTGTTAATTTTTGTATATTTTTGATTTACAAAATTGACTAAGTATATATTTATACATATATAATAGGCGTGTCGACAGGGTAAAAAAATCAAAAAAGTAATTAGTCCGTCATTAAGATCGCACGAAAATATCAGACACGTATATTTTGTTTTATCTAATTAACAGAAGAATACGTAGTTATTCCGCATTAAAGTTAGGGAGGGGGGGGTGTTGACGTCACGCGTCATTTTAACTCAAAATATCTACATGTTTTTTGGATACGAGAAAAAAGAAAAAATACGTATCGAAGATTTTTAAAATATCTAAAAGACGGACAAAAAATTAAAAAATAGTCGCCATGCCTATTATATATATTTAATTAAAAATGACTGTTTTATATTTAACTCGTCGAGGACCGTCATTATAGACACAATCAAAGAACAATAGGTTGCGGTCACCGGTGACTGCTTGGTGTTTGACAGTTTAATCGATTTAAAAAAAAGAAGAAGGTTGACTGTTTCAAATTTCATTCACTTCCATTCAGTAGTTTTTGCGTATTAACAAACACACATACAGACATCTTCACTAACTTAAATTTATAATATTAGTAGGAAGTAGGATTTGATATGAATTTGTTGTTTCGGGTCTCGGTGTGAAGTGTATACAAGGTGTAGTTTTGAAACCGTGGCATTTCTCGGGAGCATGTCACAGAAGTCATAAAGGTTCAATGTAAGAGAAAGTTTCGGGCCAATAGTTAAAAATACGGCTATAATAAATCGTTTCAGTTCGACAGTATTTCAGAATAAGCGACCGCAATGTTTCTTATTGGAGTTTTATGGAATTAGGAATCATATCAATTACTTGTTTGAGTTTGTGTGTGTTAAGCCGCGTTGCAAAACTAGTTACAAGACGGCGGATTTCCGTAATTTACAGAAAAATGAAATAAACCTACCTACAATCTTTTTTATTGATTCGGACTCAGAATCGATAGCCGAGTTACCTCCTAGTAAATGACGCGGCTTTAACTCGTCGAGTACCGGTTTTGTAGACACAATTATAGAACAATAGGTTGCGGTCACCGGTGACCGCTTGGTGTTTGACAGTTTAAAACAACATCTTGTATAAAATAGTATGTTCGAAAAGAACCAACGTACAGACGTATTGATCACCTCCTCCTTTTTGGAAAGTCGATTAAAAATACAACTATATCAAAAAAATATACCTAGCTAAAGAAACATGGTATATCTATACTAATATCATAAAGCTGAAGAGTTTGTTTTTTTGTTTGTTTGTTTGTTTGTTTGAACGCGCTAATCTCCGAAACTACTGGTCCGATTTGAAAAATTCTTTCTGTGTTGGATAGCCCATTTATCGAGGAAGGCTATAGGCTATAAAATATCACGCTACGATTAATAGGTGCCGAGCAGAGCGAGTGAAACCGCGTCGAAGTAGCTAGTAAAAAATAATAAACAGTCACTTTTGATTAGACATAAGAAAAGACAAGAAATTAATGTAATACATCAGCTGATTATTATTATTTTAATAATAATTAATATAAGTATACTAAATGTACTTTTGAATGGGCAATATTTTTCAGCAATATGGCAATTGGCGTGATGACAGAGTATGAAAATTAAAAACTCTAATTAGTCCGTCAGTTAGGTAATGAAGAAATATTAGACACGTATTTTTTTATTTTGTTGTATAGATAAAATGAATCAAAGTTTAGGAGTGGGGGCTAAAACGTCATTTCTACGTATAAAATGTACATAGAAGTGACGTCACGCGACATTTCAAATCAATATATCTTCGAAACAATATATATAGCTGTCGTAAAAAAAATTCGTGTCTAATGTTTTAAAGTAATCTACCAGACTGACATTAAAATAACAATTAGGCATCTACCCTATTATATCTTGGTTATTGCAGATCACAGATTTAGTTACAAAGATTCAAAACATTAAGAAGAAACATGGACTTATAATTTCTAATTATAAGTTTGAAATCGCCAACCCGCATTGAGCAAGCGTGGTGGTTAATGCTCAAACCTTCTCCGTGTGAGAAGAGGCCTTTGGTCAGCAGTGGCCACTTATAGACTGTTTATAATGACGATGATAGTAGCAAAATATTGTAAAAAATTTTGCTCATTGAAAAGCACTTATTATAGATCAATATAGCAATAATAATTCCTTACAAAATATAATAG